TTTTTTTTTGGTACTGGGATAGAACTCCAGTCCTTATGCTTGAGAGGCGGGTGGCAGAACCACTGAGCTAAATCCCCAGTTCTATCTTGGCAACTTGTGCAATTGTAGCTGTAGGATTAATTCTTGGTATTGCAGTTGTATAGTGGGTACTACTAGAATTTTGGAAACCTGCTGAGAGTGCTCATTTGGAATTTGTATTCACTAATTTCTCCTTTAATAGATACAAATTCAAAGGTTAGTACTGTAATTGTCCTGCACTTGGAGCCCTGGTTTTATACTTAAAAGTAGGAGAAAGATGGAACCATAGGCCAGAGAGCAAAATATTTAAGTGAACCAAGTAGGACAAGAAAGTACTCATTAAGTTTGATAACAGGGTGAAGAAAAAGAGCTCTCACATTCAGTAGATTAATCTTTGTTTTCTTCTTTCTTTTCAAAACACAGTTATATATTTGACTTTGTACTGGTGAAAAATGGCTGGATGAAATGTTTCATAGAAGAGAGGGCAGGATTTAGAGCAGTATATTATTTTTGTTTAACTGAAATTTTCAGTGTTTTATTGGTTCATCTCTGCCACATAGGGCAAGTAGGAAACTTTAGAAAAGGAACTTACTCTTAATCCTGTTAAACATAGGTTAGCAGTATTGGTAATAATGAGAAATAGGAACATTGAAATGGTTTATGACAGTAGTTTTCAGAATTACTACAGGAAAAAAACTAGAATCCAAAAGAAATCATGTGAAAATTAAATAGATAATCTACTAATTTTAACAAGGACTGTTTTGTTTGAAGGCTGCATTAGTGAGCTTTCCATCACTATGACAAAATATGGTAGTGTTTATTCCTGATTCATTCGCCTGCTGCTTTACTGGGGTGGCACATCATCGTGAGAGCTCCTGGTGGGGGAAACTGCTCACTTCAAGGATACTGGAAAGTGAAAGAGAAGGAGGGGACCAGGATCTTCCAAGGGCAGTCCAGTGATGTAACTTCCTTCCACTAGACCCCACCTCATAAAGGTTATACTTTCCACTTAAGCCACAGGCAAAGGACCAAGCTTTTAACATAAAATTCTTTGGAAGACGTTCAAATTCAATTGTAGCAGAGACATTAGGGCAGAAGTCCTCATGAGTTCAAGAGAGAAGAGGAGGACAGTTGAAATAATATTAGTGACTCTTGAGCATCACTGCTATAAAGAAAATAGATTAATTTTATGATAGCTAGAGAGGTACAGGGTTCCAGGTTGTTTTGTTTTTTAAATTGTTTGTTTCTTTTAACTCTGAGGGACATTATATTTGCTTATAGATGGATGTGGTCCATTAAAAAGGGGAAGCTAATCATAAAGGAAAGGTTTGGGCAATTTCTGCAACCTTGATTCTAGGTTTCTAAAAAAAGGATGGATGAGAGCGACTAAATTCAAATGTCTTGGCAGAACATGAACAGTTGTTCAGTAGTCACAGATGAGAAGGCAGAATGTATGAAAGAAAGTACAGGCTATTGATATAATAGAAAATTTGAGGTTTACTTTTAGTTGCTTTTGTTTTCCAGTGAATTTTCCATGTCTACAACTGAGAGTATCTGAGAGAGGGAAAAAGGAAATGTTAAATGATAAAAGAAAGAAAGCTCCAGAAGATTATATATTTCAAGAAAAACACTTGGGTTGCTTTGTGTATTTAGAGTACTGACTTGGCTCTTGAAGTTATTATTGGAATCCTGATTTTACTCTTTTCTGTCTTTTGGAGAATCGCTTTTATGTTTGTTATGGTTTCTGTCTAGTTGTCCCCTCAAAGCCTCATGTGGTCATAGGTGGGCTTTTTCAGAGGTGGCTGAATCTAGAGTGTGTGATGCTGGGATTAAGGTATGTGATTACTAAATCAGTCCACTGTGGTTTAGTACTGCCCTACTCCAAATAGCCTGGATGTGATAAAGGACAGAAAGAGGTTTGTCTTGCCCCTCCTGCTTACCTTGATACCTTCTGTCTCATAAACTGTTTCTCTTCTCAAAGCCTGTCTGCCAAGCCACCCTGCTTTAGAGCTAGGTGATTATGGACTAAAACCTTTACAAACTGTGAGCTAAATAAACGTTTCTCCTTTACCTTTGGGTGTCATGTATTGATTTTGTCTCAGCAGTGAGAAAAGTAACTAAGACAATCTTTCAGTGGCTTTTGGGAGTGAGAAAAAAATAGCTGCTTCTGTAGACAAGATTCGATATCTATCCTAAAAAAAACTGCTTATGCAACAAAGTAGCTTTTAAAAGTCTTCTGTCACCAAATATAGCCAATTATTAATTTGTATTTATTCTTATTAACTACACTGTCAGCATCTAAAAATAAGACTGTTGATTTTCTGAATTTCACTTTGAAGTTCTTTTTCATTTTTAAAAATCAAATGTTTTTTTCATCTTTTAGATGTTTTTAATAGTTGCTCCTCTTTCTGTCCTCTACAACTGGAAGGATGAATTGGATACTTGGGGATATTTCAGAGTCAGTATTTTACATGGCACCAAAAAAGACAATGAATTGATTCGTGTAAGGCAGAGGAAGTGTGAAATTGCTCTAACAACATATGAAACACTGCGCTTATGTTTGGATGAACTCAACAGGTAATAATAATAGAAATGATAACATTAATATCAATCAATCAATATCCCTTACATTGTAATTTTTTTTAGAATACTCTAAATTTCCTTTAGCTTGATTTAAGTTTATTTCAGATTTATTGAACTATGTGGTTTGTAATAACTTATTCTCTTAAGAGGAAAGTCCTGCATCAGGTTTTCGTTTTCTTACTGTATTAAACTCAGTACAGCATACCTCTCTAAACAATGCCTCAGAAAGAAGGATAAAACTTTTCATAAATCTCATGTACAAACTTTTTTGCATGTGGTACCTCTGGACTAGAACAGTTTTCGTGAATATGAGAGTCTGTTGTGAACGTAGAGTGGCAGAATACACCACAGCACTGTAGCCTAGAATGTTAGAGGTATGTGGCTAGGGGACAACATAGTGAGTTAAGTAGTGAACATATCATAAATAGCATTGAAAGCCACCTGGAAGATTTTGTTCTCTATGCTTGGGACAGAGTATCCCTGAAGGGTTTTTAGCAAATTACAAAGATGATGAAAATGATTAGATTTGCATTTGGTAATTACCTGTCTACTACGTTTACAGATAGTGGGTTGCCAGGTTGGTAGGGAAAGACTAAGAGGTTTGTGATGGGCTAAATTATGTCCCCTCACCCCCAGATTCATATGTACAAGTCTCAACCCCCAGTACCTCAGAATGTAATAATATTTAAAGATGGGTCTTTAAGCAGTGATTTTTATTCTAAATAGGTATCAGTCACCTGGGTGGGGGGCCAAGATCTTAGCCCAGCCTTTCCAGGAAATATCCCTGACTCCCACCCTTACTGAAAATCCTTGTATGCTTGTCACATGACTTGCGAGTTGCTCCCCCATTTGACCCCCACTTAATCAGTATCACCTGGGTGACTGTACCTGTAATATTATTGGTTGGTCATTCTTTTGCCCTACCTCATACCTACCTTGTAATTTTCTGTTGGGTCTTACAGTTTTGTCCCACTTAGTACCCGTCTCCCCACATGGCTTTGCTGTATAAAACATCTTAGAGAAGTGGGGTGAGCAGGCAACCCACTTTCCAGTCCCCCTTCTGTCGCTCTTAGAAGCTTTCATTCCCTCAATAAATTTTTCCTTCTCTCTCTCTCTCTCTCTCTCTCTCTTTGGTATCAGGGATCAAACTCAAGATCTTGCACTTACGAGTCAGGTGGGGGCACCACTGAGCTAAATACCCGGCCCTTTCCTAGTTTTAAAAAAAATTAAAAAATAAATAAAGATGTGTCTTTAAAAAGCTAAGTACAAATGAGGCTGTTTGAGTGGGGCTGTAATCCCACAGGCCCAGAATGCTTAAAAGAAGAGAAACAGACTGCATGCACAGAGGAAGGGACCTGTGAGGCCCAACTTGCTGGCACCTTGATCTTAGATTTCTAGCTTACAAGATTATAAGAAAATAAGATTCTGTTAAACTATCCGGTCTGCATTGGTTGTCTAGCCTAAATTATTCATAGTTGTGCTAGCCACAGCTTGGGCCTTGGTAAAGTTACTTTGATCTGTTGCAAGCCTAGATTTCACCATAAAAGGATACGATTTATACCTACAGTGTCTTTTGAAAAAATTTCTGGATGAGTCCTTAAAATGTTAAAATATTGTAGTTATGATCAGTTTATCATCATTGAAGGAGTTAATGGCAAAAAAAAGGTTATTTTTAAAGGTAATACTCTCAGTTCAGCATAAAGATGCTTTGGCATAAAATAAAAATGAGCACCAATCAGTAGCTGCCTCACATATTTTATAAGCTCAAGATATGTCTAAGAGTAAAAAGGTCACTAATTAGCTATGTGACTTTGAATAAAGCAGCTCATAGAGAAAATGACAGGATGAATGAGATCAGTTTTTGCCAAAACTGGCTGTTCAAACTCTTTAGAGGGTTTTATTAATCAACTTTAATTTATACACAGTAATAACTGATTTTAAGTGTTGTTGGCCCTCTGTTTTGCTAAATTGCGTATCGAGGTATTCAACTTACCACAGATCAAAAATATTTGTAAAAATAAATGCATCTGTACTGTACATGTATAATCTTTTTTTCCTTTTTTATTATTCCCTATAACACTATAACAACTATTTACATAGAATTTTTGTTAGAGATTAAAGGGAAGATATATATATAGGTTATATGCAAATACTATGCCATTTTATGTAAGTGACTAGAGCATCCATAGATTTTTGACCCTGGATCAATCATTCTCAGATACCCAGAGACAACTGTATGTATAGTTTGCTCATCTTGACCAGGGATGGTCAAGGGAAAACTTTTTCTGTAAGGAGTCAGGTAGCAAATATTTTTGGGCCAATGATTGTTCTCTTCAAATGAATTGTATTTTACTGTATTTGAGCGTGGATATTTAGTTTTTCTAGATTGGGGTTGTTATAAATAAAATTTCAAAGAATATTTGTATCTGGTCCTTTTTTTCTACTTATATTTGCATTTCTCTTGTGTAAACATGTCGGAGTGGAAGTTTTGAGTTTTGAAATAAGTGAAGGTCTGAATTTATAAGAAACAGCCTAGTCTTTCTCCAGAGGGACTGTGCCATTTTACTGATAGCCCCGTTGCCTTGTATCCTTGCTACTGTTGCCATTCATTTTGGTGAAAATATAACAGTATCTTGCTTTGGTATAATTTGTGTTTTCTGATTTATATACTTTTGATTCCACATGATGAATGTAGTATTCTGTAAATGTCAATGTCTAGTTAGTTAGGGTATTCCTCAAGTGTTCTCTGTCTTTACTGATTTTATTTTAGGTTGCTTTAGAGTTTCTGAGAGAAAAGAATTAAAATGGTTTTATTTCTCCTTTCTGTTCTACAGGTTTTAACTCATATATTTTGAAACTCTGTTATTAGGTACACATGCTTTTATATTGTGTTTTTCTGATGAATTAATGCTTGTATTTTAAAAAAATATCTCTTTCTAATATTATTTCTCATCTTGATATTTTCTTTAAAGTTAACATTGCCAATAGTCTTCTTATGCATACTACATGTGTATGTTTATATTTTTATATTTCAACATACCTGTTCTTTAGATTTGAAGTCGATCTCCTTGTAGTTACCATATAGTTGAATCTTGCTTTTAAATTCATTTTGATAAGCTTTGCTTCTTATTCGGTGTGTTTAGACCATTCACAATAGTAAATTTGTATGTAGAAGTGTCATTTTTGTTAAGTCTGAGATATGATTTTATACCACTTACAAGCTAAAAAATTAGCATGTTTCTGTCTAGTAGATACTGGCAGAAGTTAGTAATCTGAGTCAGACAGATGATGTGATTAGTCCAAACCTACACAATTAAGTCAGTGATGGACATGAGGTTTAAAAATTAACTGTAGACTTCAGCTTTTTAATCAATATATTATACCACTCAAAATAATCTTGTGTAGTTAGATAAATGCAATAAATTATCATAGTACCAGTTATATTTTAATTTATTTGTACTGGTCTACTCCTTTAGACTGTGAGCTTATTAATATAGATTTTATCTTTAATTTTGTAGTGCATGCTTATTACACTTTCAGCACGTAATGGTTGCTGGAGAAATTTTTTCCAGTGGTTATTTTGTGACATAAATTTTTAAACAAGAATTATGTAATCATGAGTCGTATATTTATAAGATTAGGGAATCAGGATGTTACAATTTTTGTCATATTTATTTTGTCATTTATTAGTTCAAATAGCATTAGTTTGAAAATAATTCACATTTTATGAGAGCAGATATTATTTTTGTGAGAATAATGCACTGTACATTTGTCAGAGGTGGTCCATATAGTAAACATACTGCATAGTATTAAGTATATCTTTTTTTATTATTACCATTATTCTTTTTACTTCAACTTTATCCAAGTCATGTATACATATGATTTAAAGAGACAGATGTGATCAGACACATAGGGGAAACTACAGTTCTCTCCACTCCCCTTTCCCCATTACTGTTGCTTCATTTCTTACTTATCTTCTTAGTCTTTACCTCCATATTCATAACCACATGTTAATGCTATGACATTTAATTTTTTTTAGTTTTTAGTATCATCTGCTCATTTGTTCTTAAGGAAAATTAGGATTTTGCTATATTTTGCCTTCCACTTCCTTACTTTAGAATAAAGTAAGGATCCATCTGTTTTGTGGAGTGAGACTAGGCACCTAGGAGATCCAACTGCTTTATAAACAGGCTGTTGAACATTTATGTATTTCCAATTTCCAGAGGCATCTGGTGTTAGGGACTCCTGTACCAGTATCCACCTGCCCGGTGTACAGTGCAGGAGTAGCTTCACTCAGCGGGTGATTGCTTGCGGTTCAAACTCCCACTATGGGTGCCAATTGATGGAGGCCCCTGTAGTCAGGTACCAGTACTCAGCTGCCCAGTACAATGTAGCCCTGAGAAAAAGAATACACTAAGAAATAGAACTAAGAGAGAGAAAGTGGAGTGCCAGGACAACCAGTGCGAGTGCAACTGACAAAGGTATTGCACAGTCCCAGCACTGACTTTTATTGGCAATCAGTTGGGGTAAAGGTAATGTGTGGTTTCTATGGAAATTAATGTAAACAAGGCCCATGAAGGATAAGACAAAGCATTCTCGAATTAGGAACTGAATAGACAAAGTATATGATTGTAATTCGAACACTGTCCTTCTAGTCTGAAGGTTTTGGTTGTGGGAAGAGAATTTGGGTGCGAGTTACTCTGACCTCAGCACCCAGGCTTCAGCCAGACTTACTTCTGTAAACAAGCTAATTGTGGTGTTAACTCTTCACAGCCTGCTTTGGGGATAATCACTATTACAGTCCTCTGTAATCTGGTACCACCAATCCTAGCTTTTTCTTTTTTTTTTTTGTACTAGGGATCGAACTTGGATCTCATGCTTGCGAGGCAGGCTCTGGAACCACTGAGCTAAATCCCTGGCCCAGTACTAGCTTTTTAAGAGCTAAATAAAGTATTTATTTCTTGGCTTTCTCTATTGCTGACATAGGATATTGCTGTCTTCACTTTTGTAAGTCGTCTTGTGCATTTTCCTTCCAACTTGTATAGTTTTGTGGCTCTTTTCTCCTTTACTCTTTGTTCTTGAGGACTTCATCTTATTTTATTGAACTTTAAGAACATTTTGAAACCTGTGAAAAAAATGAGATGATATTTCACTATTAAGTATTATTGTCCCTTCAGCCCTTTTACTTATGAGTGTTAGCATATGCAAATTATTCTTGCTTGAATCAGTTATTTTATTGTTACAAAATTATGTTTTTCTAACCTATTATTTCTTCTACCCTTGATTGTGTTCTGTAAAGTGTATCATTTATTAGTAATTAACTAATTTTGATTTAAAAATCTAAGTGAGTTCTTGATCTTTTGTTTTACCATTTTGAATATCACATAGAAATGCTTGTATGCCATTTGTATATCTTTGAAGAGACACTGGAAAATGTTTATTAAAATCTTTTGCCTGTCTTTTGCTTGGTTATCTTATATTGTGTTGAGTTGTAATATTTTTGTATATATTCAACATACAAATCTTATCTGAATATTATATATAAATATTTTCCTCTAGTCTGTAACATGTCCATTAGTGTTATCTTTGGAAGTGCAAAATTTTAACTTAGATGAAGTCCAACTTTGGCAAAATACTTTTATTGGCTGTGTAGTATCACATCTAAGAAGTTTTTGCCTAACCAGAAGTTATAAAATTTTTTCTTTGTTTTATAAGTTTCATAATTTTGCTTCATATTTAAGTCTGTAATCTATTTTGAGTTAATTTTTTAGGTGCAATGTGAGGGAGGGTCTAAATTTTTCATGAAACACTTACATTTTTATTTATTCAATGTTTTACACTCAGTGATAGTCATTATTCTTGATGCTGAAATAATGTGAATTAGGTTGGTTCTTATGTCCTTTGGATATGTCCTCATTTCTCATTTGTCTCTGAATACATCTGTGCTTTCTTATTCTTTAGTATTTCCCAAGCTCTATGCCTAAAATCAACCATTTCTCCATATTGCTATAGAACTCTGGTTCCTTTTAGTAGATGGAGCACTATTGGTGCTGATTGCTACTAGAGTAACAGTTGATTCTAAATCTTTGTAGTAAACAGAGTAATGCATTAAAACTTTAAAAAATCATGAATCTATATTGGTATTTTTTCATTCAGATTTAACATTGCAAAGTTTGCTTCTTTTTTGTCATTTTTTTTACTATAAAATACTCTTTTGTTGTTAATGATGTTTAAAGGAGAATTTTTTATTCTACCATATTTAAACATAATCTTGATACCCTTTTATATTCTCCATACACATCCCATTTTACTTTTGTAGGTTATGACCAGTTAATTAACTAGATGTAAGAATCATCAAGGAAAAAAAAGTAACAAAAATACCTGCAAAACTTTGGTAGAGAATACAGCTCTCTAAAAATTTTTTAGCTAAAGGAGAGGAAATTTTCTCTACCTTTCTCCCTTTTGTTATTGCTTTATAGTTTGGAATGGTCAGCCGTCATTGTGGATGAAGCTCATAGAATCAAGAATCCAAAGGCAAGAGTAACAGAAGCTATGAAAGCTTTGAAGTGTAATGTCCGTATTGGCCTCACTGGGACCATCCTTCAGAACAACATGAAGGAACTCTGGTGTGTTATGGACTGGTGAGTGAAAACATTGGTTTTACTCTTTTTAGAAAAACAGTTACTGAGTGCATACTTCTTTAACTTAATGCCACCTTGTTTGTTAATTGTTAGTTTCTGAAAACAATCATTTGACTGTTTACAGAAATATTTGATACCAAATATACCGTGATATACTAAGTAGAGAATCCCATGAAAACCTGTCTTTATGTTAGTTTGGTCCCTGAAGTAAATATACATACTGACTTGCCAATTCCACCATCATCTTTAGTTATAAGTTTAAACTCTCATAAAGAAAAAGCATTGTTTTCTTGACTTTTGTGTTTCCTCTTAATTAACAACTGACTCGAGTATATTTCTTAGAAGCTAAAAGAATTGAATGTTTTTCTTTTTAGACATTCTAATAAAACCTTCATTTTACTTATTGCCTTTTTAAAGGGCTGTTCCAGGACTTTTAGGTAGCATGATCAGCTTCCAGAAGCAGTTTTCTGACCCAGTAGAACATGGTCAGAGGCACACAGCAACAAAAAGAGAACTAGCCACTGGCCGAAGGGCCATGCGAAAGCTTGCAGAGCAGATGTCTGGCTGGCTTCTCAGGCGTACCAAGACCCTTATAAGTGATCAATTGCCAAAGAAAGAAGATCGGGTAAGACCCACCACATTTGTGTGTATGATTAATTTTTTGTTGCATTTTATTATTCTTTTTCTGAAAATTCCTTTTTAAGAGGAAATCTATCTCCTCTAGTATTTTATAATATAATTTTGTGCCCTTTATTTTTGTGGAAAAATTTTGTTATATACAAAATTTCAGAAAACATTAATTTCTAAATTAATCTACCAGTTGTTTTCCTTATTAACTTTACTTATCTGGTAGCTAACAGGTTTATTGTTAGTATATATATTATCAACTTTCTGTTGCTGTAACAAATACTTATATCTTAATATTAATTAATAATTAATATCTTAAAAGACCATGGACTTGAGCTGGTCAGTCCTGGCATGCCTAGAGAGGCAGAGACCAATCAGTATGGCTGTGAATTGATCCCATTGGCCTTGGCAGACTCAACTTAAATCAACTTAAAAGGAGAAAAGATTTATTTTGGCTCATGTATAAGAAATTTCAGTCTATGGTCTTTGGCTCTGTTACTTTGGGGCTGTGGTGGGCAAGGTATTATAGTAGGGAGCACATGATAGAGCAAAGCGACTTATTTCATGGCATCCAGGAAGCAAAAAGATTCAGAAAGGGGCCAGATTCCCAATAGATCCCTTAAGAACTTGCTCTCAGTTACCTTTTTTCTATGAGGCTTCACCTACTAAAAGTTCTGTAGTTCCACAAGCTGTGGACCAGGCCTTTGGCATATGGTCCTTTTTGGGTACATTTAAGATCCAAACCATAACAGCATACACTAGACTCACTTCTGAAAGCTTCTGACACAGTTCTTCCTCAAGAAAGGCAGAAGAACTCTCCTTGTTTTCTGTTTACATTTTGTCCTTTTCATATGGTCTGCCATCTACAACCCATCATATTCCTTGGTGCCCTAATTCTAGTTATATGACCAAAATGGTTAGGAGCTTGATTTTTAGATTTGTTTCATTTACAGTCATATTTATAGTTACACAGCTAATTTAAGTGTTTGAATTTGGGGAAAAATAATGATTAATTTCTTAAGAGAATTTGGGTTGACTTTAGTAGAATTTTTAAAATAGAGTAATCTTCTTTAAGTAAGTTCTAAAAATTCACTAATTTGTGGAAATCAAATCTAGGGCCTCATGCACAGTAGGCGACTACTATCAATGAACCACACTCCTAGTCTTCTTTTCCTAGTTTTTAATTTTGTGATTCTTCTAGCTCATGCAATGGAATAATGGTTCTATAAATTGCTGTGAAGTAAACCTTATTACTGTTACCTCAAATAAAGGCAATTCTATCAAATGCCCTTAATGTAGGATATCCTATGGATTATTCCTTTAAAAAGATGGATTTGATATCGATATGATATGCAAGTTGGAGAAGTTGATACTATATATGATGTTTAATATATTTATTTAAACAAATATTATATTGAGATAGTTCATGAATCTATACTTTTTAAAATGTTCTGCACAGTTGTATGTATATTAAACTATTTAATGGAAACAAGAAAAATATAAATATGTGAACAGAATTATGCATAGAATTTTTAAATTGGGGCTTTAAAATCAAATACTATGAGCTTGAATCCTGGCTCCCCCACTTAAAAGTTTTATAACTTCTAGCAGTTTAATGAGGCAGTCAAACATGAATTTCTTCTTAAACGGAAATGATCTGCCTCTCTTGACTGCTCTGAAATTCATGATACATTAGAGATGTTTAGTAAATGTTAAAATGTAACAATAAAAACTCAAACCCCCCCCCGACATTAGTCGGTGATACTATCTTGCATTATTTCTTTTTGTTCTTATATGTACATATATATTCAAGATTGAGGATCAAGATAGTATATTTTATATATACATATTTAAATCTAATATTATTTTAGATAGATATACGCAGATTTTCTCAGTGCACATTTATAATTTTTTGCAATAATATTCTTTGTAGTGGCAAATAAATACTTACAAATGGATGACTTTTATTTCTTGTTCATATTTTTCAAAGCCCTATCATGGGCAAGTTTAGTTTGATGGCTTTAGTTACAAATAATTGTATTTCTAATTTACAGTACTATGAAGAATACAAGCTAGATATGTCATCATTTAGTGGCATTGTTCTACCAAATTTTCTTTTTTTTTAATTTGGACATAAAATACCAACTTGTACTTGCTTTTATGTACATTTTATTAGTCATTATCCTTACTAACCTTAGAAATTTACAGCAAAGATAGTAAATATAAGTAACTTTATTTTTAGTTTTCAATACTAGGGAGTTTTTAATTTTTTCTAAGTTTTCCAACTATTTCAGTAAGCATTTATTGTTCATCCAATTATTCTGAAGTATTTATTTTCTTCATCCAGTTTTTTGTCTTAAATTTTACTCATTTACTTGCATGATGGCTAATATATAGAACTTTGTGAAGACCCACATCATATTGAGAAATAAGGAAGTAATTAACTTTTCATATTTCCTTTTAATTAAAAACAAATAAGGTATAAGGTTATTTGAAAATTAAATTATAATTATAATTGTTATAGTCTATCATAAGGTGGGAAGCAAAACTTGTAAGAGAATTGGGAAAAATTATCATGATGTAACTAGAGGAAAAACTAGTTATGAATAATTTTCACCATTACAATCTATTAAATTTTATATACATTATTATTCTTACTGTTACAAAAATGGTCCTAGTGATTGCCTTATATTTTATCTTGCCAGATGGTTTATTGTTCTCTGACAGATTTCCAGAAAGCTGTCTATCAGACAGTGTTAGAAACAGAAGATGTAACTTTGATACTTCAATCTTCTAACCCTTGCACCTGTAACAGTGGCCGGAAAAGGAGAAACTGTTGTTATAAGGCAAGCATTTCATTTTATTTTTGCCATCTTGCTTTTGGTACATTATATTTTTGTTCTGCTGTCAGAGTAGCAGCTAATAAAATAACTTCTTCAGTTTTTGTTTTTGTTTTTGGTACTGGTAATTGAACTCAGGACCTTGTACTTGTGAGGCAGGCAGTGTGCCTCTGAGTTAAATCTCTGGCCCTTCAGTTTTTAGATAATAGTTTTTAAAAATTCTTTACAATATTAAATAGTAACCATATACAAATTTGGTATTCAAATATATTTTAAAAAAATAATTTTAGAAATTAAACGTCAATTTGATATCTCCTCTTTGAGCTTTTATTTGGAAGTGCAATACTTTTATCTTGAAATTTCATTTCCAGGAATTTGCTCATTATCTACTAGTAGTAAAATGACTTAATCTTTGATTGTAGGCTAAAATATTCTGACAGATATACTGCCAGTTTAATATAAACTGTTATAAATAGAGTTTTAAAAGTTTACAAACAAAATTCATTCATAGTTTTCTACTTTCTGTCTCTATTTTCTGCTCCTTTTTTTTTCACCTAGTTCATGTAACATATCCATATTCGTATAGGGACCCAATAGATAGGTTTTTATTTCTCTCATTTATTGTTTTAGCCACTTACCATTTTTGTGATAGCCTAGTTTCCTAGAAAAACTAGTGGAAAAAGAAGGGGTCTGTATAGCACTGCTACTGCATAGTAGTCCTGTCACCAGGAAACTTATAGCAGGAGCATTTCTATCCCAGTGCATCATCAGGATAAATATATTCGAGAATGGGGTCATTCTCTCCTCTTTAATTAAAAACTACACTGTCCTATGATTCACCAAAAATGATTCCACATTTGCAACTCATGATATTTTGTGTACATAGTAGACTATTATTTTCTTAGGATTTATTGGGTTCAAAGTAACTAAGTAATAACTATTATTAAAGTGATGTATTTTCTGATGAAAACAATAACAAAACCTTTTCTTGTTCTTCTGGTTATAGACTAATTCACATGGTGAAACAGTGAAAACCTTGTATCTCAGCTACCTTACAGTCCTTCAGAAGGTAGCAAACCATGTCGCACTGCTGCAGGCCACTAGCACCTCCAGACAACAGGTATGGGTTGGCTTTCTACTTTTCTTTGTGAGGTTACTGGTATATAACTGATTTCCCAAACTGGAAAAAAAATCATTAATTTAAAAGTTTAGGATTAAATATAATCGCTTTGGTAATTTTAATTGTGTCTTATTTAGAGCTTTTTATGTAATGATTTTGTATTTTTTGTGATATAGTCAATATTGTTTAAATGAAATCTCATAAGAATTTAATACTATTTTTTTGACAGTAATCTTTACACTTTTGGGAGTATTTGCCTTCCTTATTTTAGAAATCTTGGTAAAAGTAATTAAGCTAGTAGCCTTATCATTAAAAGTTCATTAAAGCCAATTGTGGTTAACATATCATTTTAAGATTTTTCTGAATTATTAATCTGACTTAGAGAAGGCCAGATCATCCAGGTAACATGGTTTTTGTAAGTAGATTTGTTTTTTATAAGTGCTTTTAATTTATATAGGTTTAAATTTGTTAAATTGAAATCTCTCTTTCTTCTCCTTTTCCCCTCAAGGAAACACTTATCAAAAGAATATGTGATCAAGTATTTTCCAGATTCCCAGATTTTGTTCAGAAGAGCAAAGATGCGGCCTTTGAGACACTTTCTGATCCTAAATACAGTGGGAAAATGAAGGCAAGTCTGTTTTTTTGAGGGTTCATACAGACAGGTGCTATATAAAACATTCAGAAGTGTGGCCAGGATGTCAGCTTATCCGAACAGGTACCCAGACGTTGAGACAAAGTGGTGGCTGTGGCTGACTGGTATTGCTGCTGTCAGCACTTATTAGTTCACTGTGAACCCAGGGTGCAAGTTGCGTGCACAATCGATTCTCAGTATCAGTCATCAGTAGCAGTCAAGTGTATTTCAAAATTTCCTTATTTTTGTATTGGATTTTTGACCTATTAATATGTATGCTGTTTTCACATAAGTAATAACTTATCTATAAATAAGGAGATTTAAATACTAAGGCTAATCAGTAGGGTGAGGATAAGGCACGAGCCTCCACGTAGCAAAAGGAACTTCTTGTAGAGTTCAAGTGGGCAAAAACCTCTTTTCTATACTGACATTTTGTATATCTTGCCTTTTCCTCCTAAGATCTAAGTTTGCAAGGGAACATTCATTATATATAGGGAAACTGACCTGTAGCTGTGCCACTCTTGGTGATGTGTTAGTGAAGGAGAGGTAGGAAAAATAAGGCTAGGTTCCGCAGCCACTACCCAGGCCCCTGGGTGTTGCTGGTGACAGCAGCTAGCAGCCTTTTGCCTTCTTTCAACAGAATGAGTTTGCTTGATCCCTTAAGAGCTATCTGGAATTTTTATTTATGGATTCACAGATTTTAACATAACAGTTCTCAACTTCATGTTGTAATTAAGAAGAAAAGTTACTTCTTTTGGCGAAAAGAATGAAAAAGAAGTATAGTAATTCAAAGTAATCAGTTTTGTTTTTTCTGTAAATACTTCTAGTATTTAATCTAGATAAACTCACCATGACCTCTAAGTTACTTGGGACCTCTAAGTTCAATGAAATAAAAGAGAAGGTAGGAATACAAGTAATCAACAGGACTTCATTTAAATTTTGTATTTTTTGTATTTATGAGTATGTATTTGCTATACCTATTGATCAACAAGATACTGGCAAACGGAATACAACAAATTTTCAAAAATTATACATCATGGCCAAATAGGCTTCATGCCAGGGATGCAAGTGTGGCTCAACATACACAAATCAATAAATGTAATAACCAACAAAAATAGAAGGGTTCTATTCAGAAAGCTTATGTGTTCAAGAGTTTTACCTCTTTTATCTTACAGTGGATGAAGTGTTTCTGTTTTAATATCCAGGTCTTGAATCTGGTTTGATTTTATTTTAGTACATGGTGAAAGAGATGGGTCTAGATTTAGTCTTATGCATGTATATAGCCAGTTTTTTTGGCACTGCTTGTTAAGGAGGCTGTCTTTCCTCCAGTGCATGTTTTTTTGCCAGTTTGTCAAAGATCACCTAAGTGAATGTGCCTAGGGTTGTTTTTGTTCCATTGATCCACATGTCTGATTTTGTGCCAGTACCATGCTTTTTTTGTCACTGTAGCTTTCTAATAGAACTTGAAATCTGGGACTTGTAATGCCTTCTGCTTCCATTGTAGAGGTCCTTTACCTCCTTGGTGAGGTAAATTCCAAAGTACTTGATTTTTCTTGATGCTATTGTGAATGGTATTTTATTCCTAATATTTTTTTCAATGAGTTCATTATTGGTGTAAGGGAATGTTAATCAGTTATCGTGTGTTGATTTTGTACCTTGATATATTCCTGTACTTGATTATTCTAGGAGTCTTTTTTTTTTTTTTTGGTGCTGGGACTCGAACTCAGGACCTTGTGTTTGCAAGGCAGACACAGTGCTATGATCTAGGAGTCTATTGATAGATTTTTTTTGGGTCATCTGTGTAAAGGATAATGTCATGTGAAAATGATAATTTGTTCTTTTCCTTTCCTATACAAATTATTTAATTCCTTTGATTCCTTTTAACTGATCACTCTGGTTAATGTTTCAAGCACTATACTGAACAGGAGTGACAATAGTGGGCATCCTTGTTCCTGATTTTAGAGGGAATGTTGTCAGCTTTTCCCTATGTAATATGATGTTGGCAGTGTGTTTGTCGTAAGTGGCTTTTATCATATTGAAACATGGTCCTTCTGTAATTATTTTCATTGGGTTCTTTTTTTAGTAATGAGTGAATATTGGATTTTATCAAAGGCTTTTCTGCATCTGTTGTGATTTTTATCCTTGCTTCTATTTTTTGTTGTTTATTACATTTATTCATTTGTGTATGTTGAGCCACGTTTGCATCCCAGGGATGAAGCCTACTTGGCCATGATGTATAATCTTTTGAAGATTTGTTATGTTCAGTTTGTCAGTATCTTGTTGAAGACTTTTGTGCCTATGTTCATTAAATATATTGGTCTGTAGTTTTCTTTTTTAGTTGAGTCCTTGTCTGGTATTGGAATCAAGTAATATTAGTTTCTAAGAATGAATTTGGAAGTACTCCTTCCATGTCAGTTTCATTAAAGAGTTCTAGAAATATTGGTATTAGATCATCCCTGAAATTCTTATAGAATTCAGCAGTGAGTTCATTGGCCCTAGGCTTTTCTTACTTGATAGGTTTTTATTACTGTCTGAATTTCATTGTCTGTTGTTGAACTACTTTCTTTGTTTAGTTTCATTCATTCATTAGTGTCTTTGAATCTACCCATGTTTTCTAGATTGTTCATTTTTTTTGGAGATAGATTTTCAAATAGTGATAATATTCTGGATTTCAGTGGTATCTGTTGTGATTTTTGCCTTTTTCATTTCTCATTACATAGGTGTCTTTTCTTTCCTTCTTTTGGTAAGTTTGGCTAAGAGTGTCTGTTTTGTTTATTCTTTTGAAGATCCACTCATTGATTTTTCTTTTTTTTGGCATTGTTTTCTTAGTCTCAATTTCATTAATTTCTGCTCTGATCTTTATAATTTTTTCCTCTTTTACTAGCTTGGGTCTGATCTTGTTTTTGTGGGGACTTGCATTACATCATTTGCTTGTTTTGGGGGGCTTGTTCTGTTTTTCTAATGTGGGCATTCACAGCAGTGAACTTTCCTCTTAGGACTGCTTTCAGAATTCCCCATAGGTTCTGATATGTTGTACTGGTATAATCATTTGATTCTAAGAACCATTTAATTTCTTCCTTGTGACTCATTGCTTATTCAAGGATATATTATTTAATCTCCATCTATTTGCAAATTTTCTATGTGGGTTTTTTTTTTTTTGCCATTGATTTCTAGTTTCACTGCATGATAGTGTGATAATATAAAGAATTTTCATTCTTTGTATTTATTTAAACAAGCTTTATGAGTTAGTATGTGGTCTATTTTGGAGAAAGTTCTATGCGCTGTTGAGAAGACTGTATTCTATTGTTCTAGGTTGGAACACTGTGGATATCTATTAAGTCCATTTGTTTGAGGGTGTGGTTCAACTTTGATAGTTCTTTGTTTTTTGTTTTGTTTTATTTTTTTCTAGTTGATCTGTCTTTTTGTGAAAGTCGGTTATTGAGTCCACTACTATGTTTGTGTTGATATTTATGACCAATAGTGTTTGTTTTATGAAGTTGGGTATGCCAGTATTCAGTGGATATATATTTTCCCTTTGCTTAACTGCTCACCTTCCTTGTTTTATTTATTTCATTAGGCTTTTCGGCATCATTGGCATTTTCTTTGTTTAGGATATCTTTGAGAATTTCTTGGCATGTTGGTTTAGTGATCATGAATTTCTTAAGGTGCTCTTTGTCATGGAAGGTCCTTATTTCTTCTTAAATTTTGAAAAATGGTTTTATAGAATATTTTAGTCTGGGTTGAAGGTTTGTTTGTTTTAGGGCTTAAAATATTTCACTAAGCTTTCATGGCCTTTAAAGTTTTTATTTAGAAATTTACTGTAATTTTAATGGGTTGTAGATGGTTTGTTTTTTTCTTTCTATAGTTTTTGAGATTCTATCCTTGTGTTAGACTTCTGGAATTTTGATATGTATTATGGAGAAGTTCTTTTCTCATTGTGGGTATTTGAGGTTCCATATATGTCTCACTTGCATGAGTTTCTGTTTTTTTTTTTTTAACCATTTCATACAGTTCAGCCATTGAATTTTTTTATTTTCTTCCTATCAGTGACCATTGGGAGAGTTAGAAGTTTTGAGAGGCATTTTGTTGCCTTATTTCCTCATGTGTTGTGTGTGTGTGTGTGAGTGTGTATGTGTGTATGTGTGTTCAGGGTTGGGTATCCATTAGAGTGCTGGTAGCATGATATCTTTTGTTAATGTCGCCTTTCCAGTGATATAATCTTGGCTTTGATTGCTTTTTGCTGTTTGTCTATCTTTTAGCCTTTTTCAGTTTAGTAGGATCAGGCCAGGTTACTGTCTGTAAGGGAAGTACCTATCTGTTATGTCAGTTTCAACAGATCCAGCTGCACATTTCTTATGTACATTAAAACTTGTTTTAACAATTTCACCCTTTTGTCAATGACTCATACAGATGAGTATAGCACTATTGACAGGTAAATTTGAGTTATGATGAGTAGAGGGAAGGAAAGGGAAGAAAAAAGGGAAGGAGGTCAATCATATAAAAGAGAAAGATAAAAGAGAAATGACAGTGATTAGAAGAAGAGGTAGGCAAACACCAAAACCACCCAAAGTGAAGATATATCACTGATACTATATTTTTATATTTTGAGTAGAGGGCTGGTATAGAGGGGATTTGAATGAATATTTATGAAAGCAAAATAAGGGATACAAAAAGAAGCAAGTATGAAGATTGAGAGAAGCTATGAGAATGTCTGAACCAGCTAATATGCTGATAGGTACATTGTGTTTGGATCCTTTATGCACATTTATGGTGAGGGTTACCCTGATTTGTCCATGAAAGGTACTATTTAGGTTAAAGCATTGGTTAATTCTTGCTCTCTTTCTCTTATATACAGACACCTCCCATATACATGTTCCAAGAAGACTTTAGTTGAGCATACCTATATCTCATCCTCTAGCTCAACTTTCTCAGAGACTATACCCTTGCGTACCCTTTTTGCCTTCTACAAAGTCATCACCTTCCTGCTCACAAGGTCT